TGATCTTATTCATCTTTGTCATGAGTTTGGGATTTCCATTACTCATCTTTTCTCCCGAGATAACTGACATTTTTGAAGGGCACTCTTTTTATTAAATTTTATTTCTTTCTACTAAAGAACTCTTTTTTAATCTTCTGGAGTTAGGGAGTTCATTTTCACCCACAAAGTTCTTTTTGTTTATTTCCTTAGTCTGATTATTCTACTTGAGGGTATGTGGATGGATACATATCTCTTTTCATTAATGCTAGCCTCAAAATAAAGTCCTAAAAATACCAGAGGCTATTAACATTTAGAAGTCTCCTTGGGCCACAGCCATCTTCATGGAATGTCTGTGTTTGAATGAGATCAGATGTAGACGAGAGACAGCAAAGAACTAAGGGTAGACGAACACCCTCTTCTCCCCATTTTCATGCCAGAAGCGTTAGCCACACTTTTCAGCACCTCAACATGAATCAAAGCAAAAGCAAAGGTTCAAGGATAGCACGGAAGACCAATATTCAAAAAGTAAAAATAAAAAAGAACATGCACAGAAAACTAACTACAGGCAAAAAGATGGATATCTTGATAGAAATGTCTTGCTATGAGCCAATGCTGTAATGTGTCTGGTTAAGAACGATGATATGAATTTAGGACAGAAGTTCAGAAGGATTGCTTGCAACCCCAGGAGTGGACGGGGAATTTCCACTTCGCTCCACACTGATTGGGCAGCAGATAGAAAGGAGGTCAAGGTCTCAGAAAGACAGTGAGACCTGGGGGAAGGTGGTCATAGTTTTCACAGGAACCACTCACTGGTCAGGAAGTCAGGGTGTATTTACAGCTGTCACTTATTCGTTCTTTAATACAAAGAGGCTTAGAGACCACATTCTTTCCTAGGCTCTGCTGTGACCTTTCAGTTGGAAAGAGGGGGGTGGCAGAGGGTGAAGGGGGAGACAGCCCGGTGGAGGATGAAGAGCATGGGGGTCAGGGTGAGCTGGCTGCAACAGTAGAATCAGCATCATGTGGTACCCAAGTCAGCGAGCCTCTGTTGCTGGGACATGGAGGGTGGAGTTCCAAAGAGGAAGCAGGCTTGTGATGGAGCCAAACCTCTCCTACACTGCAATTTCATCCAGAGTTTTGGTGACAGCAACCATCACACAGGCCACAGTGCCACCTCTTGTGTGCTCCGGATGGGCATTCTACCTGCTGGACATTTGTCAATGGGGTGGATGATACAGGATGCTATGGTATTTAACGGTCCAGCAATGATTGAAACTCACAGGAAGTCATTAATACAATTACTGTGCAACTCTAACTGCATTATTTCAGCCTTCTTGGGTTTCAAATTAAACATCCAATGCTGTTATATAGTTTAGTCCCCTTCTCTTTGCCCTTAATTCTTTACTGTGTTACTTTAGAGGTGAGGTTCATGTGCTCGGGAAAGCACTGTCTTTTTACAGTATGGCCTCCAGCTCTCTCCCACACAGTGCTCGAGGTCTCTGATTTTCTCCCCCTCTGAAGTGCAGAGGAGCTCGTGATAAACACCAGGGAAGGGAGTTACCTCTTTCTTGTCCATGTGTGGCTATTCTCAGGTTCCTTTCACTCTCATTTCTTTTTTTAAATTTTTTGCAGTATTGGGGGTTGAACATAGGGTCTCCTGCACACTAAGTAAATGTTCTATCACTGAGCCACACTCCCAGCCCACATCTCTCTTTTAAGGGAAGCTGTGAAATGAGTCTTATCACCTTGAACTTTTAGGTGGGACTCAATGTTTGGTGACAGTTCCAAAGAAAAGTTCTACCTTGAAGAAGAGAAGCTTTTTACCTTAACTTTTAAGAGTTATTTTTATTTTGCAATAGTACACTATACTTTTAACCATCTAAGGTCTCTATGGATTTCACTCTGAACAGATATAAAGCTGTTCTGTTTGAGTTTTTCCCCCTTTTTTTCCCACTAGGTTTTCAGGGCATTCTCTGACTTCCTTCTCTGGAGCCATCTAGGAACAGATGGATATTTGTCATTTTCAGATAGAGTCTTCTGCCCTTCCTGGAAGTGAGGTGAGAAGAAGACTTGTCAATGTTCTAGACCAATAATTCTATCATTATGTACAGAGAAGCATAAATATTTGTAAAAGGGCAGATGTTCAATGATGAGGAATTTGCCCCAAGGCCTCAAGAGCAGGAAGGCTGGCTTCCTGTCGGGTGTTGCCTGAATCTTTTGAGTTACCTGTTCAATCTTCTCATTCTTTTAGGTTGCAATTGCACAGCGTGGGCACAAAGTAAAACCCTGCTGGAGATTCATGCACCTTGCCCTTTAGGGCTGGTGTATCCCTGGCTGTCAAACTCACCCTTCTCTAAGCTGGGTAGAACTAAAAGCAATAACAAAAGAGAAGTACTTCCCTGAGGCTCCCAGATTCTGTTAATTTTGTTCCAAATCAATGTGCACTCAGTCACCCTTGCAGGCCTTGCAACGCGTCTTTCACCGAATCCAAGACAGGCTAGTTTTGCTGACAGACACTAAATGCGGTGCCGTGCCCAAAACTGATCTGAAGGTTCACTGACAATTTATCTATTATCTTCACAAGGCTTTTAAAATGTCACAATCACTTCTTAAAAGTATTCCCATGCAGAGCTGAAACAAGCCAGCACTTTAATTTCTCTTACAGAGAAACCAAGTTCATCACAGAATTCACTCCTCCTTCTGCTGCTTTATGTAAAACCGACTTTGAGTTTAAAGAACAATCACAGCTCCACAAGGACAAGGTAATAAAAAACCCCATGCTGACAATGTAGCTGAGAACTTATTAGGCCACAGATACTATTTATCCAGCACCGATACTTCCATTTCATTCCATTTTCTTTTCTTTTTCTTTCCTTCTGGTTCAAACCTTCAGGAGTTATCCATTTTAATAGTATTTTTGGTACACAACCTTTTGTTCCTATGGGGAGGAGGGCTTCACTGCCCTTTCCCTGGTCAGATAGGGACCTGACATCAGTGCTCGGGTTGTGCTGGGTTCCCAGGAGATCTGATTCTGCTTCTATTTCTACTTCGATCCTTCTAGCTTTTAGGCTTGTAGACTGGATACAGAGAGGAAAGAGGCAGAAATATTTTGATCTTTCTCCTAGTGGGGACATATGGCCTTTTGAAGGCTGCTTTGCACTTCCCAGATGAGTCAGACATCTGACTACTGGAATGATCTGGTTGTCTACACCACAATGACCTAGTTTGGGTGCGATGCCAGAGGGATGCAGGCTGCTCAACCAGCTTTATAGGACAATTGTGAAGTACCTAAAAGTGTTAAAATAAATCTATTTAGTGTTTGCCCTGCTTAAATGATAGTCCCACAGGATGTCTGCACCACCTTCGCCTTCTGAATTTTGAGAGTGGGGGTAGTTCCCTCTGGTATAAGGATAGGTAGGGAGGAGAGAACCCCATCTTCCACGTCCAGGGTACCCATGTGTGTAAGTAGGTGCCATGTTTAGAAGGCCCCTCAAAGAAAAGCAGGCAGAGGATCACATGATGTAGTCATTTCTGCCATACTTTCTTCTGGCCATTGTTTTACCATGTCTAAAAGAGCATGAAAGAGTAATTCACAATTTTGCAAAACCGTTTGTCAGTTTTCTTTTTATTACTGCACAGGATGAACATTTTGACTCAAGCACAGACTAACTGAAGGACTCCTGAGACTCCCCCTGGACTGACGGACAAGTGTGGATGCCAGCGTGGAACACCAGCATGGATACCACTCCCTTGTGAAGACGAGCAGTTTTAAATCCCTACTGCACAGGGAGATCATGTCAAAGAAAACCCTCTACTCACAGGACTGTTTAGAAAGCATGCAATGTTGAGTAACGGTTTTGGGCCTGGTCTTTTAGAAATCCTGCAATTGTTGACTAAGTGTGAATTGGTAGTGCATAAAACAAGACAAGGGTCTTTGACGACAGTCTGCCTTCCTTACAGAAACGCAGAAAGTCTTCCACGCCATCCTTGTCAAAATAGTCCATCAAGACATGGGAAAAACAAAGGTTTCTGAAGCCAGCACTTTCACTGGTTTATAAGAGAGCTGTGTGTAGAGCTACGGGTTCCTCTGCCAGAGCTCATTTATAGTCCATGGGAGCTTGTTTGAGGCCCCCAAGTGAGGCGTGAGTAATTACTACTGCATTGTCCCAGGTGTGAACACTCCTGTGTTTTCCTTGAAGCCCTGAAAATGAGGACAGTCCCTGAACAGTCAGCTTTAGTCTGAAGTCTACTGCTATTTTGTTCTCAGCATTAGTGGCCAGTGGCCCATGTTGGAAGCCTGTTTTCCTGAAGGGCTGCTGGCTAAGCCACTGTCCTGGACCCATGGAAGGTCCTTTTCTACCTGGCAGTAGCCAGCTGGCTGCCCCACAGGCAGGGCTGATTCTGTGCTTCTGCAAACCCTAAATTAATGTCACTGTTTTCCGTTCTGCCTTTTAGAAAACATCTGGTTAAGGAGGAACTCAGCTAAGTAACAACAAGGGTTAATTTTTCTCTGGACTCTGTCCCTTCCTCTGTGCTCTGAAAATCCCACTGTCTGGTTGGTTGTTTGAATGTCAACGCAGAAAGGCTCAGAGGGTTCTGAGCTTTCAGGACAGTGGCTTTCCCCCCAGCATCTCCAGGGCAGAAGATAATTCACAAAGGAGTCTGAGTGTTCTAGGCTCTGAAGTAATCAACTTCCCTTAGCAACGTCTGGAGTCAGGAAAGAAGTTTAATTTTTCATTATGAAAGAATGTGGTATACACTCCAAGGCATTTTTTTGGGTGTGTGTGTGTGT